TATTAGTAGAAAAATAGCTAGTATAAATAAGAAAATAATTACTATATTAGTAGCTATTCTACTTTAGTTTATACCTAATAAGTCTAATTGCTACTACAAACATATTACTAAAATACTCGCCCTATACCTGATACCTATGCCGCTTCCCTAACCACGCTGCATACTCTCTCCAGTCTCCGCCTAGCTTTCCGCAGTATCCGCACTGTCGGATAATCCCAACTGCCCAGCCATCCCCAACAGCAGCTGCTTGTACCAGCGGTACTACTACATTCGGCCATTGACACTTTGCTGTAACGTCCCTGCCTGTAGCGCAATGCCTCTAACTAACAGAGCAGCGTTAACAACTGTTTTTAATGCTGTTGTTGCGTATACCCTTTTAAAAATGGTCTATGTCAACCCTATGCACGCCTGCCTGTGCTGTACACTTCATTGTCTTGTGCGTCCGCCACTTGTCCCGCCCCAAGTTGTCTAGCACCCAGCATATAGCGCATCCTGCCCGCACCTTATCTATTATCTCTTAAACCTGTTGCCACTTAGTGCTTGTCTCCCACTGTGAACGCTTAAACTCGCAGACTCCCTCTCCACACTAGTCACATCCAGCAGACTTAATGTTGTTGCACGCTACAGCCTTACCGTCTATGTACATGCTCATCAGCGCTCGTCGGCACCCGCGGCCTGTTAAAAACAACCCCACAGCCTGCACACATAAGTTGTCGCTGTGCTTAAGCATCTCTTGTTCTATAGATCTACGCTCTACAACAATAACTAAGTTAACCTCCTCCCTGGCTCGCCCTCCACGCCCGCTCTCTTGCGCGAAGTCGATCATGCTCCACAGCATCCCCACGTGTGGTATATACACTACCCTGGGGTAATCAACCCCCGTCCTTAGCGCTGACGTAGCCACGATCAGCCCACTAGAGCTAAGCCACTGCTTTACCTGTTCAGCGCGATTAGGGACGTTAGCGTAATAGTATTTGCATCTAAGCTCTTCTGCTACCCTCTAACACTGTTCCTTGCTGCGGCAGTACACCACGCCCTTCTCTCCTGTCGCAAGCAACAACGACTGCCGCCGTAAGCCTACCGCGAGCGCTGTCTCCTCTAGCTTACCAGCTTAACACCACAACACAAAGTATCGCGTGTTCAGCTAGACAGTGCTAGCGCGCAAGTACGTTGCACACCAAACCAGCATGCCAGCCTCTAGTTCGCACTTTTATGATGGCGGAAGCGTCACTGTAAGCAGTACTATTAGGCACAGTAGCAACTATAGATTAAAGCACTGTTTCTAGGCTTCCTAAAATAAATAATAGGTTTTAGATATAATGTATAGGATAATAATTAATTATATTTATTAATAAATGTTTATTTTTTCTTTTTGTCTGCTCTCCTTATGTTGCTTAGCTTTATTTTTCCAGTCCAAGTCCCTCGCGCACTAGCCCTATGCGCAACCAGCTGCAACATGCTGCAAGTTGTTGCAAAATGCTGCAACATGCTGCAATTTGCAGCAACATACTGTTCAAGCTTATTGCTTGTACTATGTAGCAGCTTTCGCCCAGCGTTCCTCCTGTCTTGACAGTAGGTGCGCATATCTGACAGTAGTATGCGACCCTAGCAAGCATGTACAAGTAGTGCTTCGCCCTGCACAGTCGCTGGGCCGGGGCATCAATACCTTAAGCACAGCTAGAAAGCGGAGAAACCTAGTGCATTAGTAGTAGTAGTAGTAGTGGTGGTTGTTGTAGTTGTGATTATAGTTAAGGCCTACAGCAGAACTGCAGAGACTGTGCGCGTATCCCTATAAAGGAAAATTAAAATTAATTGCGCAGTTGCTAGGCTAGTGCATTAATGCCCTAAGCACAGCTAGGAAGTGGAGAAACCTATTGCGTTAGTAGTGGCAGTGGTGATAGTTGTAGTTGTGGTCGACAGTCAGGGCTAGTAGCTGCTGCGCCAACAGCAGAGCCATGCGCGCATCCTTATAAAGGAAAACTTACAATTAACTGCACAGTTGCTAGGCTAAAGTGTCAATGCCCTAAGGAGAGCTAGAAAGTGGGGAAACCTATTAGGTTAGTAGTAGTAGTAGTAGTCATAATTACAGTAATAGTAGTAGTTGTATCATTGTAGTTAACACCCATAGCTAGTAGCTGCTACGCGAAATGCAGACCTTGTGCGCGCGTCCCTAGAAAGGAAAACTCTAAATTAAATGCGCAATTGCTAGGCTAGGGTGTTAAAACCTTAAGCACAGCTAGAAAGGAGAGAAACCTATTAAAGTAGCAGTAGTTGTGGTTATAGTCATAGTCTACTGCGGAACTGCAGAGCCTGTGCAGGTATCCTTATAAAGGAAAATCAAATCAATTGCGCAGTCGCTAGGCTAGGGCATCAATGCTCTAAGCGCAGCTAGGAAGTGGTGGTAATAGTAGTAGTTGCAGTCGTAGTCGACAGCTAGGGCTAGTAGCTGCTGCGCCAACAGCAGAGCTAGTGC